GTAGGGGGTGATGTTGCTGTAGTCGAACGGTGAGACGGACGTGTAGTTCAGTTTTGGGCACGCGTACGGTGCTGCAGGGATTATATATAGGTGTAGTAGTACCTCTTCGGGCTCTTGTACACCTTTTTCTTGCTACGTGTGCGTGTTCTTTAGATCCTCAGATGGCTCCAGCACTTTCGTGACCACGGGCCGAGAGTCTTTGCTAGATTTTGGCATTTAGCAACTGGCATACGGTTTAATGTGCAGTCAACAACAACAACAACATAGTGGAACGTACGCACCACCAGCCTGGGGGGTAGCCTTCCGGGAGGACCCCAAGGGTCGCAGTACGTGCCAATAAAAAAACACAAAACAAAATAAAACGAAATAAACCAAAGACAAACGAGGACATGAACAACCTCGCACAGAGACAGGTATATCCGTAGAGACAGTCTGAACGCGACAGCAAACAGGGGAGAGGGCAACAGAAAAACTAGTCGCTAACCGCAACATGTCACGTCACGCGGTCGGTCTCTTCTCGCTTGCTTTCTTCCCGCGCCGTTTCCTCCCGCCCCCCTCCCGCCCCGTTGATTGGTGCCGTATCTAGAGTACGCGGTCTACATTATCACTTACCCAGCCCTGCTGGACCGCCGATGCTCGCGCGATGGCCGTCGGCGTCACGAATGCAGATGCCGAAGCTCTGAGAGCGATTATTAACACGCTGAGGTATCCCTCCATTCCTTCTACGGGATGGTGTGGGTGTGTGGAAATGGTCTGCCGGAAAGCTGAGCCGCTTCGATTCAGTTCCTCCTCTTTTCGGTGTATTTTCGTAGTGTAATGGTCTATAAACCTGTGTTCCTCCCGGTGGGTTATTAGGCTGACACGAGTCCTGAACTTCGGAGAATTCCGAAGGGGATTCGGAATTCTCCGACCGGGCAGAGGCGTGTTTTATTAACGTTGTGGGCCCCTTTTTTTGAAATCTCTGACTTTTTCGGGAAAAAAGCCCTCAGCGGCTCCCGTGCTCCCCAGCACACCGACCGCTTCTGACCCTCTGCGGACAACGTAAGACTGCAACCATGGGGGGCGCCGAAAACTTAGGGTCGCCAGCCGTTAGACCGTCGAGAAACGCCCACAGGCCTGCGAGGTACGACCAAACGGGAGAGGCCGGTGCCGCTTGTGGTCATGGTCTTGCGCATTAATCTCAACCTAACGGCCGAGACGTCCCAAGCGACGACCGTACACGCCACGCCGAGCCCGCCGCGGCCTCCATGCCACAAGGTCAGGGCAACAGGAGTCCCCTTGCTGTGCGTTCGCAAGTTGCGGGCATGGCTTCTGGTGCGGGCCAACATGACCGACGCCAGAGCTCGGGAGGGAGGACAGGAGCACAGCGACTGCACCCGGCTTCCGCCAAGCAGCAGCAACAACGGCTTATTAGGAGCAGCGTCAGCATGCCCCCCGTGGTCGGTATCGAAGGGGGAGAGAACGGCTGCAGTGGTGACGAAAGTGATGGGCGTGCAGAGGACCCGTCTCCCCCGGTCTCCACGCGAAAACCCGCGCAGTCCCTGCAGCAGCTGCTCACGGATGACGAGGAGAGAAGCAGCGATGATGATGACACCAACGTCGGGGGGGGGCGAGCGCGACAATGGAGGACCAGCACTGAAGAAGAAGGGGAAAGGAAAGGCCAAGGCGATGGCTGAAGATGGTGGCGCAGCTGGAGCGAAGGCTGACTCGGCGGCGGCGAAGATCCAAACCGCGGCGGCAAGAGTCGTGCACAAGAACATCATGTGCTACAGAGAGATGCCGGCGCAGCTTCTTGCGAAGCTCTGCACTGTTCGAGGCATCAAGCGCATGTCCAGAATCACGAGCAGGGGTACCCTGGCGACCAAGCTCGAGCAACATGATCTGACTCTGAGTCGCAGCAGCCCCTTCTTGGACGACGTGCGGGAACTCGCAAACAGAGGTGAGGGTTTTACGTGGATTCTAAAAAAGGACCGCATGCGTTGATTCCAGCAGGTCGCCTGTTAAGGTTCGAGCTTACATTGTACTTGCCCGCAGACAACCGGAAAGACAATTATCAAAGATCGTACCGCACGTGTACATCAGCAGAAGTATCCTGCTGCCTCTCTCGTGTAGGAAACAGCCTCCACTGATAATCCTTGTTTCTGTCTGTCGTTGTTCACAGAGTTTCGAGCCGCACAACTGGCTGTCAGTAGTTATTTCGCCGCCACTTGCGCTTCGAATGTTTTAGACCTCATTTGCGAAGAGCCATTCCCCACGTTTGGGGCCGGTCGCGCGCCATCAAAATCAAGTACATTCCTACGGACGACAGGTCCTGGAGGCATAAATAAAATTACATGCTCTTGCATAGCCCTACTACCGTTTGCGAGGGGTTCCAGCCCATATTTCCTGCCCTTGCCGCCACGGTCAGCTCACCAATCGTCCCCTCCGCCCTTCCCTTTCCTCTTCAAAATTACTGGGCTGACACCCAATCCAGGTGCTGAAGGTTCGTGCTCCGTCAGATCTGGCCAGGCGAATAAGCCCAACGTCGACCCCGGCGCCGTCACTGCCCTGCGTTCCTACCTCACGATGGCGGAGCCCGCGCCCAACAGCATATTCAAGTTCGAAAACGAAGTCTACAAGCAAGCAGACCTGCTGAAGATTATCGAGGAGGAGGACGCTGGCGAGTGTGGTGCGGGACGCAGCGGAGATTCTCGTAGCTCGGGCGGAGGCTCGGCCGCTGGCCGGGGGGGGGTGGAGTGACCGCAAGTCGAGGCACTGCGTTCACCGGCTGTTGGCCTGCATGATGAGGGATGACCATAGGAACGACTTCATCTGCGGTGGAGAGAAGGCAAACAGGGCGCAGCTGGATGCTGGTGAGGTTGGAGCTTCGGCGGGGGCCCGGGTCAGGTTGTACGCCACCTTCACGGACAAAGACATGGAGGTAGGTTGAGCTGGAGGAGAAACCTTGTTGTCGGAGGTTAACAAGTTGTGTACAGCACCACATGTAGGCCGTGGTATCTTTTCATGCTCTGGATCCATGCGTAGGTGTCGTCCAAAATGGAGGGACTGACTTTTTTCGATCGCATTCACGTCGTTTTTTTGTGGGGCTCCACTCCGAAACCTTCCAGCTCGGACGCTTTTCGGCCGACGACATGGCGGCCCACACTGATCCGAAGGTCCTCAGCCAGCCCGACATCACCGTGAAGAAGCTGAAGGAGATGTACGCTGACGTGCGCAAGAAGTTCAACCCTTGCTGCGACCGCAAGACACAGAGTCGGGAACGCACCACCAATGGGACGAGTTTTGCCTAGGTAAGTTTCACTAGCTAGCCACTCAGCCGTCATGGTATCCTCTGTCTGGGGCTGGGTATCTTGTTTTTTTTTTTTTTTTCGCAACAATCTCGTACAAACGGGGTCGTTGGTGGTCAGCGATGTTAGAGTGCTTGGGCAGGTAGTGTGTAGATGTCGGTCAGCGTTGTTGAGTGCCTGACGAGGTCGTCCCTTCTCATTCAAACAGGGCAGGTATCTCAAGCCGTTAGTCCGTACACGGTGTACTTGCGCCCCCCACAAACTGCGCATGCATTTCATTGATGAGGGCTTTCGGACCCTACCTTCGTTTCTAGGCCCATTGCTAAATCCCCATCTCCTCTACTCTGTCCACTATGACTCCAATTCAACAAAATCGTTTACCCAGGTGACGTGGACGTCTTCCTCATGGGAGAGCTCGTGCTCGTCTACCCGGAGTTTGCGCAAATGTTCGACCAAGCGCTTCCCGAGGACGTCGCCCGCGAGGACGACGGCACTGCCACGCCCGACGACGCGGCTGACACCGTGGACGGAGGTGACGCCGACAGCCCCCTACCCACGTCGGAAGCCGCAATGCGGAAATCAGCGAAGCGCAGGGGGCGGGAAGCCGCCATCGACCGAGCCTCCAAGGTCCCCGCCCGGAAGAGCGCCAAAACGAAAGAGGCCGCGGAGCTGGCAACTACCATCGTCGACAAGGCCTTGCCCATCTTGTCGGCCAATTCCTTCGCCGGGTCGAAGTGAAGCGAGGCGACGGACAAGGCCGAGAGCGAGACTGCTGAGCTTAACCTCGCCGAAAAGAGGCTACAGACGTACATCAAGTTCACGGCCGAGCTGGAGAAGGCCGAGGAGAAAGATCCGTCAGGGACATCCATCCAAGATAGGTTCCTGAAGCTTCAAGTGCAAAAACTGGAGGCCGCAATGCTTCCCCCCGAATCGACGAACGGCCCGGTCGGCGGGAACAGCAGTGGAGGATCTGGGTCTGAAGCGGCGTCGCGAGGAAGGTGCGGGCCGGGTTCCGGACTCGGCGCTGGCGGGGAGGATGCTGGATCCGGAATTGGGGCGGGCGGCGGGGTTGGCGCGGTTGGGGAGGCTAGGGGCAGCGAGGGCTAAGAAGAGCAGACGGGTGAGGGTTAGGGGTTGAGGGTAGGGATTGTCGTCTCATTCGTGAAACGAGCCGCCTATATCGAAACCGCGGCGCTTGTTTGTTGTTGCCGCGATTTTTTTTTTCTTTGCTGAGTTCTTCACATGCGGGCAAGACGCGACGGCCGTTGTACGCCTTTGCACGCCCTGAGTAGATGGTTAGGTCGCACTGCAACATGTGGTCGGGGGAGGGGGGGGGG